CGGTGCAGCATACGATTTCAGATTGTTGAAATAAAGGACACCACCGGTTCAGCTTGATCTAAAACTAGAGTGATGTTCGGAATCCATCATCATTGCACCATTGAGCATACAACTTAAAAGAATAGTTTATTCAAAAAATAAATATTCTGTCTATCATTTACTCACCCTCATGTCGAGAGGAGATATTTTGAATAATGTGTCACAAAAATTACTGTATGGACAAAAAGGAATTGGTATTTTTCAAAATATCATCTTTTTTGTATTCCACAGAAGAAGTTTGAAATGACATGAGTGATGACAGAATGGTCATTTTTGAGTGAACTATAACTTTAACTTTTAAACCTTTAACCAGGTTGCTATTGTAAGACTAAAAGAGTTTCATAAATGACTAGAAATGCAATGAAAACACATTTCCTGGAAACCTTGTGCATTTAGGTCATGACCTAAATATTTAGATTTCCTTAAAAAAAAGTCTTTGGCCATATGGTGATAAAATCAGTGAGTTTGAACAGCGGCAGCTTTTGGAAAGAAGCTGTCAGGGCCGACTCGCAGCAGGAGTTTAGACGAGGCTCAAACTTGAGACGTCCAAAAGAAATATACAGACGTGGATAGTTCGCTATACTTTTTATACAGTCTGTCTCTATTTTCTGAGCAGACTGAACTGAACTGCTGATGCAGCTCCTAACATTTCAATCTCTTCCAGACTGACTTTTTTAATGAGATGTCCTTTTTCACAGAGGCAGTAAAGGAGGTCCACCTGCCTCCAGCAATTGAGCTGCGAAAACCGTTTTCGATATGTCTCAGTGAAATCATTTTAGACATTGTAATCTTAGTGTTGCTCAACATACAATAGACGTTTTGAAATGTGTGTCTCTTAACCCTTGTGCATCAATTAAAAAAAGTTACACATAGGTAAAAAGAGGACAAAAATGTCCACGTCAAAAAACTGTCATAAAAATGTGACGCTTTGGAGCACAGACTTAAGTTTGGTATCATTTTAAAGAAGACCCTTTGCAGATTATTGCTGAAGTAAAAAAAAATAATAATAAGTTAATCCAAAAAAAAGTTAGGTATAAGTTTATGAAAATTATTTATAAAATAATATTTTATATAAAATATATATTTTTTAAATCAGGTTGAACTCAAAACTACAATAAAATCAAAGCCATAAATCTAAATAGGTTGTGTTTCAAATTTGAGGATGATATCTCAAAAAATGAGCTTTCGGTAACAGTTTGTTTGGGCGTAGTAACATATTTTCCCCATTGGGTCCCAGCAAAACCCCACTGGAGCTCACAGTGATTGGATTTGAATTTGCAGTTTTTCTCTCTCAGTCTGACAAACACACACATGCGCACACACACATATTAACACACATACTAACCACACTCTGACATCCATACCAACACACCCACACAAATATCGTTGCATAATTTATCCAGTTGGCTCTATAGTATGCCGAACCAGAAAACAGGAATAAAGTGATATTTGTTTTATAGGCCAAACTTAAAAAAAATGACACCATCTGATAAAAAATGGTAAAAAATAAAATTTTGAAGCCTTGCCATCAGAATGAAAGCCTCTTAACAAAGATTGCATAATTTTATAGTTAACTGAACCGGGGATTAAAAATGGCAGTTTTAATGGGTTTCAATGGGGACATTTTTGTCCAAAAGGGGCTGAGAGGGAGTATTTTTTGTACCTAATCCAAAAAATATTTTTTTAAGAAAATGAAATATTTTTTGAAGTAAAATTCAAATAAAAATACACACCTGTGCCAAGTTTTTTGCCGTTAGCTTTAACACAGGCAAAGTGATCAAAAAATCAAAACTGAAAAGGACAAAAATGTCCACAAGGATGCACAAGGGTTAAGGGATAAATCCAGTTTTCCATTGCACATTAATTGAGGGTTCTGGCGTCTTTTTCTTCCCCACAGCATTGCTTTTTTTACTTTTCTTTTTTTTTTTTTACAGTCAACAGAGGGGCTGTTAATAATCGGGCAGTTTTCCCCAACTCATTGTTCAGCATGTTCCACAGTTATTGGCTTGTCTGTGGTTGTAACAATCTCAGGCCTTATACACAAAGAGTCTCCCAGCGAATCTGTCTTGAGAACTCTGAAGTGCTCTTCTTTACATCTCTAAGACCCTAATGAATCATAATGACTCACTAAATTAAACACAACTCTTCAAACATCTATTGAGATAATCACATTTGTGAAGTTTGTGAAGTAGATACTGCTATTCAGTATTTTCAGTCATAGCTGAGCATAAAGACCGGCATCTGTGTTTTGTTGTACCTTTTTGGAGATATTTTATTGTTTAACCTCTTTGAAATTTACATCTTCATGACTCTAACCAGAGACAAATTATATAGAGACATGCTACTTCCTAAATCCTCAATACAACTATATAGGGAAAACCCGTAACGCCAAAGATGAGGTTGTATGCATATGCCCAAAGCCAATCGTCTGCTTTTAACAGTCAAGGCAGGAAACATTGAGGCCTATCGTCTGGTTCCACTGATGCACGTGCACATTTGATGTTTGCGACAGCGGAGACGAGAACCCTTGCGCATGCGTAGTAAAAATAAAGCCTGTGGGGAAAAGGGCGTTTTAAGCCTTATTTTGGGGCAATGTCATCAAACTTTTTCAGCAATTTTTGTCATAATGTACTGCTGTTTCTATACATGCAGTTATTATGTCCCGGTGACCAATGAAACTGCAGTTCTGACTCTCTGCCCATTCATTTAGATAGGAGCCTGGTCTTGTTAGTCCAAAATAGCTGCCCGGAGGCGTTGCCAAGATGGCGGCCGAGTGGCACGACTTGCCTAAAAGGACTTTCCTCTAACCCACAAAACAGATGAAACATTGTTGTTTCTCTCCAGTAGCAATGTTATAATTGTTCTGACGTATGTCCATGTGTGAAAGATTTTGAATTTTCTTATTAAACGGATTGTAAAAACTAAGTTGAAAACTCCCCTTTCTTGTTTCCAACCTGTTCTGTCTGTCGTTGGCACCATCACTGTAGTTAGGTTTGGCAAACATAAAAAGTTTGCAATTGGGACATTGTGAGTGGAAAATCTGACTGTTTTTGTCCTCCTTAAATGATGCTATTGTAAATGTTATTAAACTCGATTTTGACTCGTTGCACAAGCTGGCAAACACACATAGGCCTACACACTCTCACAATAAGAGTCACAACTGTACCAGCCAGTTGGACAACATAGGCAGAACTGTCCAAACACACACATACAAAGATACATGATGATGTGCTGTAATATTTGATACAGAGATCATGCATAATGTATTATAGAAAGATTAATAAAGTTATAAATTGACTTTTATTATAAACCTTTATTTTGAAGCTGTTGTTTTGTTTTTCTTTTTTCAAACATTGATCATTTTAAATGACATCACTTCCTCGCTCCTTCACTCAAGGGATATCACTTCCCATCTTTCAGGTGCGAGTGCTTTAGAAGGTTGGTACAGTGGTAAAGGTCAAGGTCTGACCTGACGTTCGCAGGTTGTCAGGTGCCTCCTTACTGAATAAAGCGAGCTGCCCTCCCTTGCCAAAAGATAGTGGATTTTGTGGATGAAGGCTGTTGGACGGGGATGAGAGAACGTGCTGAGAATAGATCTGTGGCCCCAGTGCGCAGCGAGCGGTCTGGAATCCCAGCCTACCCCTGTGGATCGGGCCAGGGAGATTCTGTACATGACTGGAGGATCACCCACACAGCTGCCAGAACCACACACACACACACACACACACACAACAGCACACTTCGCCACCTAGTTAGAGCCCTGAGGAGAACATCTAACACAAACATGTGCAGATACACACATTTAGGGCATATGTGGAATCTCACCCGTTCTCATGTGATCTCGTGTGTTCACATTTACTGTCTGAATGACTAAATGTTGTTTAGGTGGGACCTTCAGTCAGACCATTGTTTCCTTTCAAACATGTATACAAGAGGTTAATACGCGTCTTTATTTAATACATTGTCTAAAACTCTTTCCACGTACTTTGCTGTGACCTTCCTGTCACCGGCCCCGTTCTATTTCTGTTTATCCAACATGTAACGCTGGGCAGGCGTTTGGACGAGAGCACAGTAATACCTCTGAGATCAAAGCGGTGTGTGGTATGACGCTAACATGGAGTAATTTATAGATTCGGTCTGTGTCAGTTGCGTCGTTCCACTCTGCTAAACTCACGCACTTACTCTCATGCTCTCAGAGGGCAACGATGTCAACACGTCCTCATAACCTCAGATTTATGTTTAAAGTCAACTGGCTTCTTGTCATATCCTGGCCCAACCGTCACACTGTTATTGTATGATTATGTTTTTGTCATTTAAAGCTTTCTGAATGTGGATGAAAACACTAAATATTTGGTGTAAACGCATGGCTTTAATTGGTGGTGTGTCTTTGGGGAAATTAGTGGCTGAATGTGATAGAGACGGGGAACAGACACTTGGTACACTGGAGCACGGCGTGCTCAGACAGCTGAAGCCGTCTCTCATCTCTGCACCTGCTCTGTTCTCCCTTGTGTCCTCCCTCAGAGAGAAAGAGAAAGAGAGCGAGAGAGAGAGATGGAAACTACCAGCACCTGCTGTGTGAAGAATATGACAAGAAGCCTGAGTTGATAAAGAAAAAAATATTATGTTATAAAATCATTCTCTCCCTGTCTTTCTCGCTTTCTCTCACTATATATATATCTATATCTATATATATATATATAATCATATTTTATTGATTACATTGATTGAAATGATTACATTTAAAAGGAAAAAGAAGAAAGATGTTGTCCTAGTGTCTGACCACAATTAGGGTTAGAACTAAAAGTTCTGCAGGATAAGGAATTGAAACCCCTAAAGAATCAAAGAATCTGAAGGATGGATGGGTTCAGAATCAATTAAAGCAGCCATTCATGAACGACCACTGGTACATGTAGAGAAGAAATTATTGATGTTAAACGTTTTGACTTTTGTCTGTCCTTTAGAGTTACTGGAGACAAAAACCATACGGCCGTTCAGTTTCTCCTTCAACACCAGTGACTACCGAATTCTGCACATGGACCAAGACCAAGGACGGCTCTACCTGGGCAGCCGTGAATATCTGGTCTCTCTAGACATGCAAAATGTCAATAAAGAACCTCTTATTGTAAGACACTATAGAATTATTGTATTGTGGAATTATTTTCTCTTATTGTAAGAAATGAATACTGAGTTGAATTCTTTACTGTAATTAAACCTTATATCCCTTCCTATTGTATGGTAGTTTCTTGGTACTTTTGCTTAATTTTTTAGTGAAGTATTTAAAAAGGATTGTGTGTTTTCAGATTCACTGGCCAGCAACAGCACAGAGAAAAGGGGAATGTAAATTAACTGGCAAAGGTGGACAGGTACAGGCTGTTTTGATTTGTTATTGAATCATTAGACAGAAATGCATTCTTTGCTAAAACACCTTGTTTGTGTGTTCTCAGGGAGAGTGCGCTAACTTTGTGCGTCTGATTGAGCCGTGGAACAGGACTCACCTGTACACCTGCGGCACTGGAGCTTATAAACCCATCTGCACCTTCATTAACAGAGGCTGGAGAGCTGAGGTAATGAATTAAATGTTGGCAAACGTTTTTTTGTATTTCATCAGCAATGGCACTGTTGATATTATAAATATAATCAAAAAATATTTTTTTATGTTTTAATGTCTTTAAATCATTTTTCAACATGTTTGAATCATTGATTTATGTGTGGACTTTAACAGTTGACATTTTGCACATTATCATCAACTATGCAATGTGTAGACTAGAATTATTAGACGTAGAAGTTCAAAGGAGAGCTGAGAACTAAGACATTTTTGTCAAAAGATAGATTCTATGACTAAAGGAACTCACTCACAGTCACTTGCATCACTCATTGTGTGTGTGTGTGTGCGTGCGTGCGTTTGATTGTGTGTAGGAATACCTCTTCCGGCTTGTTCCTGGTTATGTGGACTCTGGAAAAGGAAAATCTCCTTATGATCCCCGGCAGGAGAACGCAGCAGCTCTCATCAGTGAGAATCTCTCTCTCTATATATCTCTTTCGCTCCCTCTCTCTCTCAAAACAAAAGCATGTACAGTAGTCAATCTCAATGAGAATTAGAATTTTGCTCTAAAATAGCCTACACTGTTCAAAGGTTTGTGCTTGTAATTTTCATTTTTTTTGAAAATTAATTTTTTTTTATTTTTAGTTATTGAAAGAAATGTCCTATGATCAACAGGGTTCCATTTATTAAATATAAATAAATACAGTAAAAGCCATACAATTGTGAAATATTATTACAGTTTACAATAACTGTTTTCTGTTTGAATGTATATTAAATGTAATTTATTCCTGTGATGAGAAATCAGAATTTTCAGCATCATTACTCCAGTCTTGAGTGTCATGATCCTTCAGAAATATTATGATTTGGTGCTCAAGTAGCATTTCTTATTATTATCAATGTTGAAAACAGTTGTGCTGCTCGATTTTTTGGGAAACAGTGATACATTTTTCTTCAAGATTCTTTGATAAATAGAAGGTTCAAAAGGTTCATTTTTTCACTTCATTCAGTAACTTTAGGCAGTTTGTTTGCTATCCGGAGAATCAGTTCTCTTTCAGAAGATGTGTAAAGGCGCTCCCTACCGTATAACAGTGAAAACACGGAAAATCAGTAAATTCTGTCAATGGCAGGGAAAGAGTTAAAAGTACTGCAGTCATGGGAATTAATTTGTCACAAAAAAGTGTGGGAACTATTCTCTTACTTCCGCACTTCAACTTCCTCTAGAGAATCCTCTAGCTGTATAAATGTAGCCAGTCTTCATCCATCATAAGCTCTCTCTCTCTTGCCACATTACTCTCATTCTCCTGTCTTCAGATGGGAACCTGTATGCTGGGGTACATGTGGACTTTATGGGTACAGATCCAGCCATCTTCAGAACCTTGGGAGACCGTCCCGCTGTCAGAACCGAGCAGTACGACTCCCGTTGGCTGAACGGTACGAGTGAAGTGTTTCAATTGAAAAGACAGACAGTTGACAAATATTATCTCTTTATCTCTTTACAAATCTTTTTATCTCTCCATCAGAGCCAGTGTTTATAAAAATCCAGAAGATTCCAGATAGTGCGGAGAAGAATGATGATAAGCTTTACTTCTTCTTTCGGGAGAAGAGCTTAGATGCTTCGGGGGGCAGCGCTCCGAGCGTCATCGCGAGAGTTGGCCGAGTCTGTCTGGTGAGAAAATCCAGATGCTAGACACAAGACTTTGTCTACTTAAGCCACATTCTGACTTCATAATCAACTCATGATTTTTTGTCGTGCAAATTCGGTATGTAAATCAGATGTTTGTTTAAAGTCTAATCTTCTATCTGTTTGTATGCTTTTCCTTCAGAATGATGATGGAGGTCAAAGGTCACTGGTGAATAAGTGGACGACATTCCTCAAAGCACGACTGGTCTGTTCTGTTATTGGTGCAGACGGTGTTGAGACTTACTTTGATGAACTAAGTATGGCATATGTTTTTCTCTCCTCCGTGATCACAACATGTCCGTGATCAGCTCTCTGTTTGTCTGTCTGTGATGCTTGATATCTGTTTGTTTTAAAGGGGATGTTTTCATCCAGAGGACCCATGATGAACGGAACCCCATCGTGTATGCTGTGTTCTCCACAGCTGGGTGAGATAATCTCTCATGCAAACATATGAAATACTTACAGTACTGTTCAAAGGTTTGGGGTCATTATGTTATGCATTTATTATTTGTTGTTGAAAGAAATCAGTACATTGTTTCAGCAAGGATGCATTAAATTGATGAAAAGGTGAATTTTTTTTTTTTACAGTGTTACAAAAAAATCGGTTTCAGATAAATGCTGTTCTTTTGAGTCTGAGACTCATTAAAAATGTATCACGACTGTTCATATTATTGATAATAATAATAAATGTTTCTTGAGAAGCAAATCAGCATATTAGAATGATTTCTGAAGGATCATGTGACACTCAAGACTGGAGAAATGGCTGCAGAAAATATATCAAAATAGAAAATGGATATTTGAACTTTTTCCCAGTATTACTGTTTTTGATCAAATAGAGGTAACTTTGGTGAGCATAAGAGACTTTTTCTTCCCAAAAACCAAATAAAAAATCAAAACCGAAACCCCCAACAGTTTGAACGGTGGTGTAAGTACACAGGAGCATTTTTGTAGTCTAAACATTTCTTAATTATAGATTTAAATTGATAGTTGACCTCCAAAAATATCTGTAATTTACTCACGCTCTATTATTCCAAACCTTTATGACTTCCTTTCTTGCAAGAAATACACAACTTTTTTACAGTAAATATTTTCTCCCTTGGAAAAAGCTATCATATTGAAAATTTATAGTGCACAAAGCAAATAAAATCACTTTTCTAATTTTCTATGTTTTTAGAGCTTGACAGTCACCAGTTTCTTATGTTGTGTGGAAAAGTTGTGTGCCTTTGACAATGTTATTTGAATGTGAAGCAATATAAATATTATAAATATCACAAAAGCAAGTAAGAAAAATAGAATTAAACTAAGAATTAAAATACATAGGTGAGGTATGTGCAGGTTCTTGTTGTATTCTTTCAACTTAGTGTTAATATTGATTATCTTTTGTTAAGTTATTATAATGCCAATTCTCTCTGTTCCTCTCCAGCTCTGTGTTTAAAGGCTCTGCTGTGTGTGTGTACTCGATGGCTGACATCAGAAATGTCTTCAATGGACCCTTCTCTCACAAACATGGTCACAACTATCAGTGGACACCCTACACTGGCAAAATCCCTTACCCTCGCCCAGGCACTGTGAGCATTGCTTATGAAAACCAGTTTGATATCTTATAGTTGATTCTTTGTTGCTATCTAATTCCTTTTTCTGCTTTTGCTTTATTTTTTAGTGTCCTGGAGGAACATTCACCCCTGATCTCCACACCACTAAGGCCTTCTCTGACGAGGCTGTAAACTTTGTACGCGCCCATCCGCTGATGTATCAACCTATATATCCGATACACAAGCGTCCCCTGGTGGTCAGGACCGGAGTTGATTACCGTTTCACCACCATTGCTGTGGACCTGGTGGATGCTGTGGATGGAAGATATGAGGTGCTCTTCCTGGGCACAGGTTAGACATTTTTTGACCATGTCTGATTCTTTCTATTTAGTTAAATGCTGGACGATTATGTGAAGGTGCACTGTTCCTACAGAATTTATAAAAAGATGACCAATCAATCTCATAGCTTAACTTCTGATTCTGCTCTTTGAACTTTAGATCGTGGAACAGTCCAGAAGGTGATTGTCTTGCCAAAAGACATCAGCACAACAGAAGAGCTCGTTTTGGAAGAAGTCGAGGTTTTTAAGGTACACAAATACAGATTTTTCATGACTTTATTTCTGTTATATAATCTCATGGGTGGAAAATACCCCAAAAATATCATAATGCATGATTTTAAATTATGTAATTTTTTTTCCTTCAAATTTTTTCAGACTCCAGCAGCTGTCAAAACCCTCAAGATTTCTACTAAAAGGGTAAAAATTACCTAGTTTTAATAATCCTATGCATAAAACCAGTTTTGTTTTTGTATTTTTTATGTACTATTATAGTTTTTGTTCATATTTTGCATTGAACTTTATTTTATATTTTCTGTTTTCATTTTCATTTGTAAACTTTTTTGTAATTTATTTATATATTTGTCCATTTTTATAAAATTAGATTTTTTTTTCTTTTTATAGTTTTTAATTTAAAAAAACATTTTAAATTTTATGTTATGTTAGTACTTTAACTTTAACTGAAATTTAAAATCAGTCCCTGAGCTGTAAAAAAAAAAAAAAAATTGTAATAAAAACTTTCTCTTTCTCTCTTGCGGTTTACAGCAACAGTTGTACGTGTCCTCAGAAAGGGGTCTTACCCAGGTGTCCCTGCACAGATGTGCCGTTTATGGCAAGGCCTGTTCGGACTGCTGTCTGGCCCGAGACCCTTACTGTGCCTGGGATGGAGAACACTGCTCTGCTTTCACCCCGGCTACCAAGAGGTCAGTGTGCATTCATTTACCCTGACAGGTGGTCCATGATCCTAAAGGTGTGTGTGGTGTCTAGACTTCATTACCAGCCCATTTTTTAAATGATCACAAAATGACAAAGCAGCGGGCGAGGAGGTGTCGTATGATCATTTAAATAGATTTTATGACGAGGTCGGTGAGGATGGGAAAAATCTTACATTTCTGTGCAAACTTTGCCCGTTGATAAAATAATTGTTGTCTGTGGTTGTATATGGGCATTGGCAATAAAAGAAGAAGAAGAAAAAAGCTTGCAACATATGGAAAAAGGAACTATGAATGAACTAGTTCATTTTTTGAAGTATGAACTATGAGCGGAACTTGTTCATTTTAAAATGTGTGAACTGAACTTTGAAGTAGTTCATGTAGAAAGTGAACTTTCCCAACACTGCAGTTAATGTATGGCAATATTTGGATATTGTTCTTCAACAGAATTATTGAACCTTTACAAAATAAAGAGAAAAGTTTATGTCTTAGTGAAAATAGTCCATAAGCTTTTAACCATAACCATCTGTGAATGAATCCTCAGGAGAAGCAGAAGGCAAGATATCAAACACGGAGATCCCTTAAGGCAGTGCAGAGGATTCAACGCTAAAGGTTTGTAAACAGCCATTTATATGATCCTGAGTAACAACACTAGAGATTTTTAGAAACTTGAATATGGCCCTTCTCTGACACTCTCAGTAGAAAAGCGTCTGAGAGAGACGGTGCAGTTTGGAGTTGAGGGGAGCAGCACGTTTCTAGAGTGCCAGCCGCGGTCCCCACAGGCCTCCGTCAAATGGCTCTGCCAGAAGGACGGCAAGCGAAAAGCAGTAAGACACTCATGTTACCGTTATCTCTTTTTGAAGATGGGTCACCCGAAAACGCTAATTCTGACATGATTTACCTACACTGTACAAGATTTTTGTATAATTTATGGTAAAAAATTAAAGCTGTAGTTGCCAGATCTTAACCTAAAATGTTGCTGCCACATTTCTATGGTATTGAATATAACTTGAATTTACTGTACAAAAAAAAACCATTTTATTAACTGATGTAATTTTAATATCCCAAACTAATGAAGCGCTAAAATCAGTTTTGTACCTTTATAACACACTGATAACCACCAAAAAGCACAGGTTGCCATGTGTAGAAGTAAAGCTCATCATATGTAGCTTTCCATGTCGATACAAACCTGGATGACTTTGTCTTTTTTGGAACACAAAAGATGTTTTGAAAAGTTTTTTTTTTTGTATTACAATGAAAGTCAATGGGCTCCAATGTTGTTTTGGACCCCATTGACTGTCATTGACAAATTATTTTTAAAATCTCCTTTGTGTTTCACCTCATTAATTTAGAGGACATAAAAGACTCCTTTTCTCTTTCAGCTCAGTCGAGACAAAGAGGTCTTGAAGACCGGGCATGGCATCCTGCTGAAATCTCTCGCCCAATCGGATGCCGGCCTTTACCACTGTCTGGCAACTGAAAACAACTTCAAACACACCGTGGCACGCATCTCCCTGCGGATCCTGGACCGGGAGATTGTGGAGGCGCTGACCGAGTCAGACGTCTCTGTAGAACCAGAGCACCGCCGCCACCATTCCCATCACAACCCTCCACCCCCGCCCCCTCAGTCCCACCTACCTCAACTCCAGCTCCACCCGCAGCCTGAAGTGCGTCTCATCAACCAGTACTGCCAGTCCTACAGGCAGCAGATACAAAGCCAACCACACAAAGCCAAACGCAACAACCGCAGGCACACAGGAGAACAGGAAGAGGAGGAGCTGCAGGAGCAGTGAATGGAGCAGCATCTGGGACCTTGTTGACCTTGTCCAGTCCATGTGCCCTATCATTACAGTATGTACTCCCTCCAGGCAAACTCCTATTCAGTCCCTTTAATAAAATGATTCATTAGCTTAGATTGATTCATTAGATGCATCAGACTGTCTGAACTAAATAGATTTTCATTTTGAGGTACAGTTTGATACATTTAACTCCCCTAACTAATATAAATATGGCTTTTTGTGTGCTCACTTCCATAGTTAGTGGTAAACTACTCCGTTTTCTAAATAAATTCCTTAAAACATTCAGCGGCACCTGCAAAACTACTGCCGTATTATGTTAAATATAAGCTATTCCCTTTTAAAATTCAGTTCACAGATGAGTGCAGTGTAAATACTATCAGAAACATTCGGAAATATGTTTTTGCTTTGCATTATAGAGGCATCAAAAGATTGCAGATCTCTAAACAGCCTGAATATTAATTGGAATAAATATTCTTGTACATTTTAAGATCCTTGGAAGTACGTATCTGCAAGACTGTTAATTAGCACAATATATCTTCCCATCATTTTGACTACTGAAGTTTTTACTTTTGTTAGCATTTAAAGTTTTTTTTTTGTGGAGTTTTCCATTGGAAAGTCCTTTAAAGAACAGATCATTTGAATGGAGGGCTAGGAGTGACAATTAAAAATAAAATGAATATATAGTCATACATGCATTTGAGCTTTGATTTTAGTCTTGACCCATGACAGAAATTGAAAGCCTAGAATTGATAAGCAACTTCCACCGAAAGTGATATTTCTGTATCATTTGCACGGTTAAACATGTTGTTTCAGATAAAACTTTACATTGATTGTGAATTAAAAATGATTGAAAATAACTACGTTGGTCATTAGATTAAAAATACATTTAAATTATTATTTTTTTTACATTACAAATATGTGGGTTATCAAAATAATCATCTAATAGTAAAAATATTATAATACTTATCTAATAGTAAATAATAATATAAAATGTTGTCTTCTTTTTGTAGTGGAACAAGCCGCTCTGGTTTCAGAATTTGTAACATGATTGGATCATTGCCATTGTTTTATTAGGACAGTACTTTGGACCAAAATGAAAGTCATGGGATTTGCAAAAATCGAAATGTTCATAGAAATTGTGCATCAGAATCTCTCCCTTGTAAGGACTGAAATCAGATATGGCTGTTTTGTGAAAAGCCTCGATACGTACTTCGCATTGCAGTTGAAATTTTTCATCTTTGAATGTGAAAGCAACCAAAATACAAGTCCGTTATCCTCTTGTTGGTCTTGTGTTGTTCGTCCCCCAACAAACGGAGCTTCCCTGATTTGAACGGCTGTATAGACACCTGGTCTCTTCTATCTTTGACTTTAGACTCTGATGAAATGTAGTCGGACCACTAAAAACATTTTCATTCTCAATCCATAATCAAATCATGTTGTATTCCACAGTTTGTCAATGGTGATATGTGGTCATGTTTTTTGCTCGTGTATAAACACAGTATCTGTGCTTTGTGTTGTGTGACAATGACACATGTACATAGAAATTGTATGTATTTGACTATAGTCACTGGTCAGGATTAAAAACTAACCTCCTCTCTTTCCTCATCTCTCCCCGTCACCCTCTTTCTCTCACCCACACCATACAACATATTTATTGTGAGAGTGTACATATTCATGTGAGTTGTGCTCTTTGGTGGTGGGACAGGGCTGGTTTTAATGGAAATTGTCATTTTATGTATTGTTTATTTACAGGACCAGGACACATGGAGAGATGCTGATGAGAAAGAGGTAGATGTTTTTGGAGAAATTGTAATTAGTATTTTAACATTGAAACACATTTAATTTAACCTCAAGGTTCTCAAGGAAAAAAAAATGGGTGGAAAGCTGTGGAAATGTACTAAGCTTTGGGGGGCACACAACGCAAACTTGCAGAGTGTTTCAAGCCAGAAATGTCTACCTCTTTTAGCACTTTCTATGGAAAATCACTTCGCACCAAACTAAAGGACAAAGGCAAAGGAAACGTGTTGTATAATTTTTTTCTGTTAACATCTACTTTGTCTGGCCCGTTAATGTCAGAATGTTTTAAAGGATAAGAGACTCTCTTTCTCTTCTTTTGGGTGTTAGTGGTATATTTATAATGAAAGTGCTCCGTGGTTTTAACCCCATTCATGTTATCTGGTCTTGAAGGGTGGAGAACAAACTTTAAAGTCCAAACCACAATACTTTCCTCTCCACAGAGATGTTATTGTGCAGAATGACAACGGAGTCTGTCTCTGCGGGAACTTAAATGCCACATAGACTTTCTTTGTCCTGTTGTGTCTTTCTTTTGGTGTTGGCTGTTGAACTAAAAAGAAACTTCCTAAATATGGTTGCTTCCTGAATATTTCCTCTTTGTATTTACAGATGTTTGTGTAGATTCATGTTAATGTGATTTTTTTGTGATAAATATTATTGTATTATCATGGTATTCTGGGGCTTGGGAGTCCTACTAGGTGTTTTTTAAAGCAATAACAATAAACTGCTGTTTTTTTTTTGTTTTTATCCAGTTTTTTTCTGTCTGAACACCTGACATGTTTTAATTTTATATGAGTATAATTAACCCCCGGTTTCACAGACAATGCTTAAGCCTATAGTCCTGGACTAAAATGCGTGGTTTAACTGAAAGACTTATTTTAAAATATGTCTTCTATTGTTTTGTCTCAAGATGCAGATCAGTGTTTTTTTGTCTAAGACCTGTTTTAAAAAGCATATTATATGTACAGTATATCATATACAATACTGTACATTATGCTTATTGTCATTATATTGCAAACATGTTTTTAAAACATTACTTTTTAAACTGTTGTTTCTTGTACTTCCACATTAGTCCTGTAGGGGGTGGTGATATATCCTACGCAGCCTTACAAAACCTAATATATCTTACCTTGACAAGAATAACATTACTGGGTTTGTGGTTGAGGGAGAGAGATTTTTTAGACAGTTGTTGAGTTAAAACTATGCACAAACAGAAGGAAATATCCAACATAAAGCTGTGGTTAAGCTTGGCGGTCCGACTGTTTGGATGAAATCTAACACCACTCTTGGTTTGGCTCAACTGAAGTTTCTACTTCCTGAATGTACTCGCATTGAACTACAGCTGCACAAAGAAGACAGAACAGTCTTTGAAACAAGTGAGACAAACTGCAAAATGGGCTTGAAATCTAACGTTAGTCATTATCGGAGTTTAGTTTGCTTTATTTGATATCCAGTAGATCCTCTATCATTTAGTGCGACTTTAATCTGAAATAAAAGATTTCCACTGAGCGTCAGAAATGGTTGAAGTGTGTGAACCAAGAGTAGAGAGAAGCATTAGTTGTCCCAGTCATCCTCTTCATCTTCATCACAACCATCATCATCATCATCATCTGAAAAAAATCAAAGAAATATAACATACATCAAAATTACTGAATGAATCAATGAATCACTAGCACATGAAAGTAGTGTTATGGGGTAGTAACACATTAAGTTACGTACACTTTTTTCGAGTAACTTGAAAAGTTACATTCATATTTACAACTAAATATCCTGAGATGCTTATTCAAATGAGTAATGCAGGTTTTATCATTTGCTGACTGACACTTATGTTGAGAGATATTGAGAGTACATGCAGAGGCGTTTTGTGTGCTGTGTAAACATGGTGGTTATTGTAGTTGTAGTCTAAATGTTATAATAATAATAATTTGCTACATTAATTAATAACACTTTTCTCTGATCTCAAAGCGCACTGCATTTAGACCACTCGACCACCCCCAGTGTGCAGCATCCTCCTGGATGATGCGACGTCTGCCTTGGGCCAGAACGCCCACCACACACCAGGTAACTGGTGGAGAGGAGACAGTGATGAAGTCACTCAGTATATATGGGGATGATTAGGAGGCCATGATGATAAACAGTGGCCAATTTTCAAATTTTGTCAGGATGCCAGGGTTCAACCCCTACTCTCCAACCCCAACCCCTTTTTTCAAAGGACATCCTGGGATTTTTAATGACCACAGAGATTCAGAACCTCAGTTTAACATCTCTTCCGAAGGACTGTGATTTTTGCAATATAGTGTCCATCATAATTGGATGTTATGACCCACACAGACCACCACAGGGTGAGCACCCCCTACTGCCCTCACTAACGCCTCTTCCAGCAGCAACCTAGTTTTCCCAGGAGGATTCCCATCCAGGGACTGACCAGACTCAGCCCTGCTTAGCTTCAGTGGGCAACAGTATTGGGCTACAGGGGGATATGGCTGCTGGCCATGATGTGAGCTCACATACAGGCTCAGTTTTTCTCCAAATAAATAAAAACAGTGAAATGCAAACTTAAAATATTATGCAAAATGCAATAATTTAAAAAGCTTCAATTTAGCTTCAATTTATTAGCCAATGTCTTTGCTGCTTACCTTTGATGATCCAATTCAACCATACTAAGCAAAATACTGTTTATGGGTATGACAATGTTGTATGCTTGGTGGTGGAATAGCTGCTACGCTGCTGTTATTGCAGATCAAGTATGAGTCTTGCTACTGCCACGAGTCATTCAATAGGTTATATTTTATAGGTTGAATTTGTAAAAGTGTGGAAAAAACCCTTTAGATTTATTGCTCGAGTTACCTGAGGAATGGATAACTTTACTCCTTTTCTGCATCACCATCATCAGAGCTCCCACAATTCCCTGTGAGGACTCATCTTGAACTGGATTAGAGTCTGGGGAGTCAGGCACCTGAGGTAAACACCACATAACCGTTCAAAACGTGGTTATTCACAACAAAGTATATTGCTTATATTGAACAAAATGCATTGCGTTTGTATGAAAATGTGTCACGTACATTCTTTAGCACACGCCCACGACGAATTTCCTCCAGTAAAGTTCCTCGTCCTCCACCACCAGAGGGAGAAGGAGGAGGTGGAGCTGAGCTGGCAGGGCTACTGGGTAAGTTAGCGGCTGAAGAAGGTGGTGGTGGAGGAGGTGGTGGGGGCGGAGGTGGAGGTGGTGCACCTCCACCCATAGGTGGAGGAGATGGCTTGTGACTGTGGCTGGGTGGTGGCGGCGGAAGAGAGGATGGCAGTGGGGGTGGAGGCCCAGAACGGCCTCCAGGTGGCGGTGGACCGCGATGGGGAGGTCCAGGACTGCGCGCAGGTGGTGGAGGGCGTCCGGGTGGGCCTGGCACTGGGGGAAGCCCACCACGGGGTGGAGGAGGTGCAGGGGCAGAATGAGGACCTCCTGGGTCTGGAGGGAGAGAGCCAGAATGGTCCCGAAAAGCATCATTGAGGGAAACAAAGATCATTACAGTTTTGATGTAACGAAAGTAGTGACAGATTATTTTTTCTTTCATATTGCGGTGTACATTCGAGTGAAACAGATTATCAAAAATGGGGAAAAAGTAGGCTGGGGTTGTGGTTCTGTGATCTGAATGCGATGGTAAGAAAGGGGCAGGGTTTAAGCAGACCAAACGATTGGAAAGTCCAGCAAACATCACCAGAGAGAAGTCATTTGACTGGAAGACCAAGTTTTAACATTTTGATAAAACAATAATATCAATATGTATATTTTTTTCATGCTGACGAAGTGAAATTTCCAAATCAAACTTCCAAAATATTCCACAAAGAGAGTTAAAATGGTAAACAAAATAAATTTTATTTTGTTTTATTTTAAAAGGAGCTTACCCTGTTTCCTCATTTCCTCTTTTACTGCATCCAACCCTCCAGATTGCTCGATGAAGTCATAGATTAGTTTAGATGTTTCTTTATCTGCCAGCTGGGCATCACTGATGCCAGCACTGTTGAACAGTTTCTTCAGGTCAGGGTCGAGATTGTTGGTCTGGAGGGGCCAAAGTCAGTATTCATATAAATGCTGCTTTTATAACTTTAGAAATGCTATTTGCTACATCACAATAAACACTAAATTTTCTTTATGCATTAAGGAAAAGGACCAATTCTTACATCAAAACCAGAGTTTGGATCCCACCCAATATGAGTGACGTGTCTAAAAAGGCAAGAGAGGCACAGAAAGCATCACTTCAAACAGACAGAACAAAAACACAAAGTGAGTGTCCAAGTTATGGTAAAACCTTCTTACTTGAATCCACTAGGTGCTCCAATATCTGCCTTCGTGAGCCTTGGGCCTTTCTTCTTTCCCTTTTTGTCTTTTTTGCTTAATATGGAGACTGAAGCTGGTGCGGGGATCGGCACTGGGGGAGAGCGGTACCTTGATGCAACGATATCTGGGTTCTGGATGTCCACCGTGGTCATTAAACTGGGCTGTGAAACTGGACCTGATTAACAGACATAGTTGGTTAAACACTTGTATTTATCGATGCATTCAGACCATGTAACCACACCAGGATAAATTAAAGAGATAGTTCATCCAAAAATGAAAGTTCTGTCATTGTTTATTGTGGTAGCACCATTTAGACTTTGATAAGTATTTATGCATGTTTTCATTTCATTATTTATTTTTGTCAGGAAGGCAAAATCGTCTGGGAGCAGGAGCTATATAATCAGATGACATATTCCTGTCCATTGAGGTTCTTCCACAGTTTTGCAGCTGATGTGGGTACAGACTTCTTTAAAATCTTGAATTGAACTCATGTTAAATTATAGTCACTGTCTAAATAACTGCTCGAATTAAGCCACACTGGCATCATCAAAAATGTCTTTAAGTTTTGATTTGATTGTTTTTCAGGATAAATTAAAGAGAAAGTTCATCCAAAAATGAAAGTTCTGTCATTGTTCATTGTTGTTCCAAATCCGTTTGACTTACTTTCTTCTGCTGAAAATATTTTTTGGGTAAAAAAAAAAAAAAAACAAAAAAAACTCTGGGGTATAAAACAACATTGAACCCCACTGAATTTCATCATATACAGTACATTTATTCAACAAAACAAAAGTCATACAGGTACGGAATGACAATATGCTGAGTAAATGAAAAATTAATGAAGTCTTTAAATCTTTTAAAAGTGACTCACCATTTGCTGGAGGGATTTGTTGTAGTGGCTGTTTTTCTGTTAGTAAAAAAAAGTGTCTTGAAATGCCAATTTTTAAATTTATAGCAAGTGTAATTTTAAATTGAAGACACTTACCTTCAGATGGAGCATGCTGTCGCTTTTCTAAATATGCATGTATAAAAAAAGGGAACCGCTGGTTAAATACTCTGTTTTTATTGGTAATGAGCAAAATTCATATAAATATGAATGAGAATTACAGTAACTGACCCTGGCGGTTGAATCTCTGATTAATCTTCTCCTCAGTGACGTTTCTGAACACATCAGCTTCTGTCTCACTGGCAAAGTTCAAACCTACTTGACAGTCCTGAGACACAATTAAAGTAAAAAAAAAAAATCAATTCAAAACTTAAAGACATTTTTGATGATGCCAGTGTGGCTTAATTCGAGCAGTAATTTAGACAGTGACTATAGTTTAACATGAGTTCAATTCAAGATTTTAAAGAAGTCTGTACCCACATCAGCTGCAAAACTGTGGAAGAACCTCAATGGACAGGAATATGTCATCTGATTATATAGCTCCTGCTCCCAGACCATTTTGCCTTCCTGACAAAAATAAATAATGAAATGAAAACATGCATAAATACTTATCAAAGTCTAAATGGTGCTACCACAATGTGTTTTCATCATGAATGACTTGAGTTGAGCTGCTGTGACTCAGAACTCAAAGCAGAAGTATATCTTTATTTAATTTTAGCCTGTTTGGTCACAGGTCATCTTTGGTCATGCTAACAGAAGTCAGTATAAATTCATTTATCATCATATAATGTCAGAAAGCATAGAGCATCTCTATCTGCATAGATGTAAGATGCTTAAACGTTATTTATATAAATACTGAGCATGTATGTTAAGATTTTTCAAATCTGAATTTCTAACCTTTATGTCATAGAGCCGGATGTAATATGACCGTTTAGGGTTGTCCTTAATGAAACATACGACTCCTGTATGTTGGAGACTCCATTGGGTTGGACTGTGAGGAAGAGCCATGTACAACTGAACAACCGCTGTGGCCGTGCTCTGCGTTCACACACACACACACACACACACACACACACACACACACACACACACACACACACACACACACATAAACTTCCATAATGTACAAAAGATTAATCAGTGAAGTATTAAAATAAAAGCTCGAGCAAAGACATCAGCATCCTCTACAACAACAGGAAGTGGCCTCATACAACATTTCCTGTCACTCTCCAGTTAAACTTTGTGGTTGCAAACATCAATCATCAATACAAACAGGTTAACAATGTTGTGAAGTGAACATTCGGAAGAAAACTAATTATGTTTTTATGATATTAGGAGTTTTCCTGGGTGCAATATAATTGCAAAATCAAAACACAGTGGATTAAATAGTTCAGTTGTTACAGCAAATTCTGTCACAGGTTGTCCTGGACATGTTTTGTGTGCAATCTCTTCATCTACAAAAGAACTTGAAAGGTTGAGTGTCACTTTGACCTTTAACTGACATCAACAGTAACAGCTCTAATCTTTTCTGTGACCTTTGCTCCACGTCTCTCCTTTGAGGACTGAATTTTTTTTTATAACTGATTGATTTCCATCCCCAAAATCCTTTGTGGGACAGAATGTCCATCTTTGATTGGCCCTGAAATCAAAGTTACTTCACTCACCACACATCGCCTTCCCAGCAGCTCCAGCAGGCATTCATTCTCCTGGCTGCTGAGGAGAGAACTGGGCATGTTCTCCTGCCCTTTGGTTTTTCCTTTACTCATCTCTCCTTGATCAAATGGACACTCGGATCCTGGGACTCCACGCCTGGGGCCCCTACTCGGCCCACAGTACCTGTCTGAATACTTTTTGGGATAGGCAAATGATTCGGAGGAACCGTTGCTTCCGTGTTCTAATCTGATGTAAATGCAACACAGCAAAAGAGAACAGGAAGAACAAAAACCACTGCGCAGATCTGCTCTCAGAATGCCGTGGACAGGCACGTGTTCCTTCAGTCATTTAAAGGAGGAGGAGCAACAATAACAATATACACTCACATAAAGTACCTGTGAAAAGTTTGGAAACATTACACTATTTTTTTTATGTTTTTGAAAGAAGTCTCTTATGTTCACCAAGGATGCATTTATTTGATCAAAAATACACAGTTATGTTGCAAAATATTATTACGATTTAAAAGGACTGTTTTTATTTGACTATATTTTACAATGTTATTTATTCCTGTAATGGTGAAATTGAATTTTCAGCATCTTCAGAATCACTTGATCTTTCACAAATCCTTCTAATATGGTGCTCAAGAAACATTTCTTATATCAATGTTGAAAACAGTTTGAACAATAATCAAAATCACAATAATCCTTTACTCAAAAAGTAGTTAGAATATGTTACCTAAAGTTAGTAATCTAGATTACGTTACTAATTTCCGTAACAGACTACAATTTGCAAGTTAATCTGACCACCACTGTATATAATTCAAAATAACAACAATAAAGTTATAACATGATTGTAAATAAACAATACACTAAATTAAAATGTAACAAATATTTATTTATTATATTTATGAATAGCCAATGATGTAATAATTATATGAAATCTGAATACTTTTTTATAAATCATGAATATAAAGTTAATACATCTGAATATGTAAATGTGAATCTGAATATAGGCCTGTGGTTAAATCTGAAAACATAAAAGGGAATATTATAACTCTGAATATATAAATGTAAACCATGTATTGTTACACAAAATTTACATTTTCAGAACTATTATTTTTAGGATGTATATGTACAGATTTTGTATAATTATTACCAATTGGTATATTACATGTAACTTAATGATTATTGAAACATTTTAATGTTAAGGTTAAAGACAAAATGACTATAAGAAGTGAATTGTTAAGAATGATTTCATATATGTAATAAGGGATTCATTAGAGGGATAGCATCCCCAAAATCCTTTGTGGGGCAGAATGTCCATCTGATTGGCCCTCAAATCAGAGTTACTTCACTCACCACACATCTCCTTCCCAGCAGCTCCAGCAGGCATTCATTCTCCTGGCTGCTGAGGAGAGAACTGCATGTTCTCCTGCCCTTTGGTTTTTCCTTTACTCATCTCTCCTTGATCAAATGGACACCCAGACACTCAGGAAAATGAATGCCTGCTGGAGCTGCTGGGAAGGAGATGTGTGGTGAGTGAAGTAACTCTGAGAGGGCCAATCATAGATGGACATTCTGTCCCACAAAGGATTTTGGGGATGGAATCCCTTTAATGAATCCCTTATTACATATATCAAATCTAACAATATTCACTTCTCATAATCATTTTCTCTTTTCACTAAACATATTTAGATATACGGGAAATTGCAATGGAAGACGATTTCGATATATCTAAATATGTTTAGTGAAAGGTAAAACTTCCGAAATCTAAAAAAAAAAAAAAAAAAAAAAAAAAAAAAACCAATGCGTGAGTAGACGCGCGAGAGATCACTTCCGGCGTAAAGTCTGGAGACGGTGCAGTGAGTTCTGTTCAGTTGGACATCTGATTCAGATCAGTTCGAGGGCCGTTAACAAGAGGTAAAAAATATATAAATATAACAGATTAAAGTATGATTAGACCCACAAAAGCTCGGTTACATAAATACTGTTCGTTTTCTCACACAAACCGCTCTTGTCCATCATTTCTTAGGCCATCAGTGTGTACTTTACTTATAGTCATCAAATCATGTTTAATTTTGACTTCTCTGTGCATGCTCTTTGAGGTGGAACCCCTAAAACTGCATTATAGGACTGACAGACAACAACGGTTGGACCAAAAAATGTCAAAATTGAAAATGCTGTGGAAACAAAGACACCTACATCTCGGATGCCCTTGAGGTAAGCTAAAAACATATCAAAAATTAATTTCAAAGTGAACTATCCCTTTAAATAGACATTACATGCATTACAATATTATTTTCTTATAATAACTTTTTTATTTTTGTCAAATTCGATCTCATACGATTTATATTTTCTGTTGATTAAACCAATCCCCATTGTATTAAAATTTTAAGGTAACCCGGTTATTTTAAATTAAACAAACAAAAATTGTTTTACAATGAAAACATGAGTACACAAATAAATAAATACATACATATTGTTTTTTATTGAAAATGTTTTGGCAAAGTCAAATGTGAGTTCAGTAAACCAACAAACAAATGTAAAAGCAGTAGAAAAGGCATTGTTCAACTGATGTGTTTGTGTTTCACATTGGAACTGTCAATCTTTAACCTCATACAATTTTTGAACACGGTCATGGAAACGATGTATTTATTGCTCCTAAAACAGAATAAATAGGCATTGCAGGACAGTGGGAACTTGAAGAAGTGGGGGGCTGCTATCATTTTAATGGTCGTAGCAATGGTTTGGAGTGCACACTGTGAGTAGGTCTGCCTAAGCATTTTCATTGTCTACAGAGGACCAGGAGGAAAAGTTTCGTTGGTTAAAGTCTTAACGGCTTTTGGCAATTGTTGGTAATTTTGTGTAAAAACTTTTACAAATAGTAATTCTAAAACTTTATTTCCAGAGTACAGGATTTTAAATCCTAGATTTTCCATATGGTCTTTTTCAGTGTGGACATTTGGGTCCCACTGCACAAAAAATAAAAAAATAAAAATTATAAATTGTTTCTCCAATTTGTGTAATTAGGGGGAACATTTTAATTTTCCATCAATAGATTTGAATGAAAAGAGAAAGAAATGTAATTAGATGGGTTGGCCATGTATGACACATGTTGTTAGATTGTGACTGATCGATGGGAATATGGCATAAATAAATGAATTCACAGGTTAGGTTTTGTTTGCATTAGATGCATCACAGTGATGTAAGCAACGTAAGCACCTTAATTGTAGCTATCCACTGGTTCCTCAACTGAAACAACAGATGCCATTACACCACAAAAAATATTGCAACTGTACGTACCTTACATTTGTTTGACAAAGTAAATTATATCCAGCAGGGGGAAAAAAACTGAAATAGTATAAAGCTGATTGTCTTTTTAACTGTAGTGCAGTTTTTATCACACAATATTTCATGAATATTTTTATCTCAAATATTTTTTTTTTCTCTGAGCTTGAATTTCATAAATTTGGTTCTCGGATAAGAAACAAAAAAAAACAAAAGACAACGACGCTGACAGATTCAGTTCAGGTCTGCAGCCATTCTGAGATGATGTTGAATTTTCTTATCGCAACATTTTTGGATGAACAAACTAAAGAAAGAGAATGTGTTTCAGTTTCCTAAGTATTGCACTCCGGGTCTGTGGCTTGCATTTGATGGGACAAAAGACCAGATGATGGGTCTGATGGTAGGTCAGATGATATTGTCTCCATCAGACAATAAAACAAACCCCTCCAGTTTTTTATTTTGGCATGTGCTGTATCTTTTAGCATTATTCTAAAGCTATTTAGAGGGCTTCCATCTACAACACAAACATAATTTATCGTTATGAAGCCTGATTGTAGAAGCAGCCTCAAAATGGCATGACATTTCTGTGTCCCCCAGAAATCCTCCACCATGAAGAAACATCATAGGATTTATCCATTTTAATTTTAAAGATGGCAGGCAGGACATCAGTCCTTTTCCTTACTCAGCGGGGTAACAGATCTGAGGTGAGTTGGGTCCAGCCTAAGTGATGTTTTGGATTCTCTCACATTCAGGAAAGAGAAGGGGTGATGATGTTCCTCAAAGGCTTTTTGGACCCTTACAGTTTTGTGGTTGAAGATCAGTGACCTCCTCCACTTCGATTCTCTCCGTAGACCCAATCCAGTGCGATAAACGTCAAGCTCATGCTCATAAAGATGAAGCCTAGAGCAGTGAAGCAGGCAGCCTGTAACACAAGAGCAAGAGAAGATACTTTTTATAACTAACGAACATCTGACTGCATTAAATCAAATTCTCTTGTGATTTAGGTGTACACCACATTGATTCCAAATAGGGAAAGTTTAAGACTCGCCTGAATTTTTGGTCTTGAGTTCATTGGCTCTTGCTCGGTGGAAACGATTCGGATGTAAAAAAGACCCGGGAGGATGAAGATCAAGCTTGGAGCAGAGGTTGCACCTATGAAATGAACAAAAACCTAATGAAACTTCTACTTGAAGTTTAAGCTTAAGGTGCGGTCACATTAGCAAAACTTCGGCCCAAAACGTTCCATTGTCTATTGTCTTACACAGAAGTCCCTTTTAAACCATGCACTTTCATTAACCTTCTGTTGGTCAAGGCGGCGAATCCATCCTAGATCCGCTGCGAAATCTTCACAGAAAAATATTAATTTAAAAATCGTGTGGTTTGTTATTGAAATTACTGGATTTCGCCCATGAAAATTCATCGAACAAGTGTAAATGTGACCAAACCTCTAAGTAAATTTAACTATTGACATACAAATTTACAATCCCCAGCATTCAAAATGCAGACGTGATTATATAATTTAGATCCAATCCTTGATTCTGATTTTATTCATGATAAAACACGGCTATGACCTCCTCACCCAACTTTTTTTTTTATCACTGTGCAACACTGCAGTTCCTATGTAGTTTTTATTTGAGCTTTCATGCATATTACACATTGGAAAGTTGTTGCTGTTCCCAGTCAGGGACTATTTTATTCTAGCGGAAGGAAGGCTTTTAGTGATTTGACTTCATGAAAGTTGCACTAATACATATTTTTTTCACTTTAATATTTATTTTTTGTTGTGTGGTCACCATTTTATAAAAGCAATAAGGTACTTGAGGCAAGTGCTGTATCGTGAATAAGAAACGGCTGAAGGGGTTGCAGCCTCTCGCTGACATCATTGAAATAACTGAATGAGGAATTGTGATGTCTAACAATTTATAGCTGCTAATGAGCAGAACTCAACTTTATGCAAATAAACAGTAGGAGAAATATTATAAATGTACATGAATTTATTCAATAGATTTGTTTTTATTACAAACTGATTATTCTACGAAATATTTGTGAGAGATGTGTATTTTTATGTTTATTAGATTATCATGCAACTATTGACATACAATAATGTTCTTTTGCTGCATTGCGCTAGTATTATCTTTAGGTGTACATTTTACTCACCTATGATGCCGAAAATATCACGAATGTTGGGCACAAAAATGACGAGCAGATTGACAACAAAAAGGAGACACAATGCAATAGAGATGTGACGCACCCAATGGAAGGGCTTATCAGGGAACAGAAGCTGAAGAAGAGCTCTGCGAATCTAAAAAAAAAAAAAACGACAAACGACAAAGAAATCAAAATAATTAACACATCCGCTCTGCATAAAAAACAACAACAAAGGGATACTCCACCCAATCATGCCGTCCCATGCATATGGCTTTCTTTCTTCTGATGAACAGAAACAAACATTTTTAGAAAAATAATCAGTGCCTGAGAGTTCATGTAATGCAAGTGTATAGGAACCCCAAAGTTGACGCTTCAAAAACCATACAAAGTGAACATGACTGTAATCCATAAGACCCCAGTTGATTAATCAGTGTCTCCTGAAGTGAAAACTAAGGAACATCAACTGGGGTTGTCATGGTTCTTTGTGTGGTTTTTAAAGATCCCGTACACTTTCATTATATGGATTATTTTTTTTTAAATAACTGATTCTGTTCATAGCCTCTACATCCGAGACAGCATAATGGTGAATAAATGATGAGAGAATATTAATTTTTCGATGGAGTATCAACTTTTGACAATATGCTACAACATAGTTTTATCTAAGAAATTGAAAGCTAGTCAGATATCACCATATAACCACATTCAATATAGGGTTTCATTACCGGGAAGAGCACAACAGGAACAGTCAGAGTCACGGCCACCAGGACGGCCACACGCACACACAGGATGAGCGTGTCCAGAGGATCCACCTTGCTGTAGGTGTGTAAAAGTTCTGCTTCCGTGTTTACTGAGAAAGAGATATTTTGAGCTTAAGTTACACACATATTTCCACAGATGTAGGTTCTATAATACAAGTTAAACCACTCATTTATTATTAAGTATGGCCTGTAATCAGATTCATGTTGTTAAAACACAATAATTTCCAATGATTACATTTCCTTTTCTTTTAATAGAAGAAATGATTGTCTTTGTGGTAATATAGTATGGATAGCATCTGAAAGGGTACAATTTTATGGCTGGCATGCAGCATTGAACATCATTTTTATTTTAAAATCCAAAGCGCTTACAATAAAAGGTGAGGTAGCCAAAGATGGCAGTGAGCAGATACATGACAAACATCCCCAGGATGGACACGTTGGCAATGGCCTGCATGCGTCTCTTTGTTGGACTAAAAGTGTCAAAACAACAATAATAAGGGAGATTTACTTTTGACTCATGTTTTCCTTCTTGGAACAAAGAAATACAGACATTTTTTAATTCATTTACATGCATGTATGTATGTATGTATATAACACACACACTACCTTTTAAAAGTTTGGGTTCAGTAAGATCTTTAATGATTTTATAGGATGTCTCTTACGCTCACCAAGTCATTTATTTAATCACAAACACAGCAATGTTGTGCTATATATAACTACAATTTGAATTTTTAATCAGTTGTATTATATTTTAAAATGTAATTTATTCCTGTGATGGCAAAGCTGAATTACTAGTATTGAGTGTCACATGATCTTTCAGAGAGCATGTGCATTCTTAACGTACTTGCGCAGCTCAGTGTAGATCGGCAGCACCTCAGGGTGGCATACAAAGGCGAAGGCCAAGATGGGAACCGTGTAGGCTGTCTGCAAGACAGAGTAAATGAAAAATTACATGAAGCCATGTCTGATCTCATGCAGTGAGGCAACCTCACACATATTTCATCGTACTGAAACTAGTTGCCTGGTAACAGTATTTCCGTCTAGGTACTAAGCATTTCCTGTCTGCTCAGAGCTATAATGATAATAGCCTGTCGACTTGGGGTGCAGCCAGGTCATACAGGGTTATAAATGATACTTCCTGAATATATTCTTGCAATGATGAAGACCCTTCCTTACCTGCTGGTTGATGGTGAAGTATTTAGCTTCACATTCCCCATCAATAGTTATGTTTTCAGCAGTGTGGTTGGTAAAACCATCGAAAGGACACGGGATATTGAACTTCTTATAGATGACCTAGGACACAAACATAAAACAATTATAAATAGTTGAAAAGATAGAGTTAAACCAGAGAGGTTTTGAGTAACCTTTTGATCTTTTCTCCAAAGACCACACACAGACCACAGCATCAACACTTACTGAGATCAGGAAGAAAACCATACATGTCAGAGAGAAGCCACTGGTGTAGCCCAGGTATCCTGCAACAAACAACAGACATTATTACACAAAATGTAAACTATATTACTATAAATTAGATTCTCGCCCATGCTCTAAGCTGCTAAATACGACTATTAGGCTTGAAGATACAAAGATATATTTAAACATTAACATCATGATTTTTAAGCAATGTGTATTTTGAAAAGCGCTATACAAATTAAAGATGCAGTAACCAATTTCTGAGAAATGCTGTTGATATTTAAAAAATCACCAAAACAAACATGCCCCTACCCAAAAGGATCACAGCCCTATCTTGATAGCTCCACCCCCAAACACACTATGCAACATGGGTACCTCCACCTTAATGATTGTATACGCCCCTTAATGGTGATAGGCTATAAGTGTGTGCCCGATCTGATCCAACGGCTTTTCTCAAATCGCTTACTGCACCTTTAATTTAACTTGACTTGATTCTAGCAACAGTTGTTTGTTTCGATTTGTTTTGGGTTACAAACCAGTGCTCTTAACAAAAATTAGATCTGTAGATTTCAAAACTTGAAAAAAAGTCTAAACCAGACACAAAATGTTCTTTAAGACATCATAAAGATCACTCTGGATATACCTCAGGACTCTACAGAAAAGGAGTAAAGCAGATTGTGTTTTACAAGTGAGTGGAGGACAATATTATGAAAACTGGCAATGTGACAAGCAAATAGAAGAGTAGGGGATGAATTCACAACCAGCACAAAGGAAAATTGCTTACCAAGCTGTTTCATCAGGGCAAGTGGCAAGATGACGCAAATGGACACAATGACGATCAGATAGTTGCCATTCAGGAACCACTCACTATAAGCAAGAGAGAGAGAGAGAGAGAGAGAGAGAGAGAGAATAAGGTAGCCGTATCACCTACTGCAAGGAACACTGCAAGTGTTTATGTATTTTTAACAACAGTTGGAGGACTTGGATTGCTCTGAGGTTGGAATGCAAAGTTACCTTGGATGACCCAAACATTTGATCTAATTCTTGGCTAGATTAAATTAGACTCATTAGGAGAACACGGGGAGAAACAAATTATTGTGTTTCTCACCCACTGCTGTGCTGAAGGCCAAGGAAAGCCTGAATAACCAGAGGTAATTCATACTTCACAATGAAGAGGTAGCTAGACATTGCTGAAAGAAAAACAGACAGATACATCAGTTTGGTTGAACTGACACTCATCTAAATGGCAGATGTAGGCTACATATTTTATAATTGTTAACATAGCAATATTTAATATGAGTTACGAAAAATAATGCAGTTTTGCACTGCAACATTGTATACTTTAGAAGATGTGACTCTTTCCAAGTTTAGAGGCGCCAAAAGCATCACAAATGTATTACAATACTGTTTGACAGGACGAAACATTTGTTAGTCGGAGAGGGAAGGTTATGTAACACAGTCCTGCTAACATTCTTTCTATGCGCAACATATTATTCCTCATGAGACTCAAGGAGTGCTCCTAAATCACATCACTGTATTTTTAAAGGCTTTATAATAGCCTACTTTAAAAGCCTTTATGAATATACATTCTACAAATAATAGAGAGATACTATTTAAATCTAATGGATAAAAATAACAAATCAGTGTAACTGGACCGCTTAAGGAAAAAGTAAGAGAAAAGATACAGAGATAAAAAAGGAGTTTGAAAATGAGATCAGAACCAAGCCAAAAGTCCAACTTACCACCAATGTTGTGTAATGTTATGACAAGAGCTGCCAGTATTTTTCCCGGGTGTCCAAACGCTCGTTTACCCAGTTGTTCATAAGCACGAATACCTGCAGAGACAATATTACAGATTAGTGATTCATGATTTAGCCTGATGAACTAACGCTAATCTCATATGTATTGGGTTCCAAAAGTCTGACACCACATTGAAAATACTGCATTTAAAATCTAATTACAACCTGGAAATAAACAAAAAGCTTTAGAAAGCTTGTTGAAAGCTTTCAGTCAATCAATAATTCATCATTGTCATTAAATTAAAAGCATGACGTGATAACGACTGAGACATTCTGAAATTTAAGATTACATTTTTTTATTTCATTGATTTTTTTAATTACAATTTTCAGTCAATATGCTGTGCAGAGTACAGTCAATATGACATATAATGAAAGTATTGGTGTCATGAGCAATTGTAAAAGTCTCATCCAAGATGTTTATGTCTTTCTTTCTTCGGTCGAAAAGAAATTAAGGTTTTTGAGTAAAATATTCCAGGATTTTTCTTCTTTAGTAGACTTCAACGGGAATCAATGGGCTGAAGGTCCAAATTGCAGTTTCTATGTCGGACAATTTAAAGTTAGAGGAGAAAATGGGATGAGTTTTTCGCCCTACCCAAACTTTTTGAGCCAGAAACAAGCGTACATACGTACTGTTTGGTGCATCACAGCGTATATAGTAAAAAGTATATAGATTTTTCTTTTTTTGTCCGAAAATGGCCAATCGTTTCACTGGATAAGACCCTTATTCCTCAGCTGTGATCTAGCCATTTGAGGCTGTTTGGACCTTCGTTGGTTCCCGTTGAAGTCCACTATATGGAGAAAAATCCTGGAATGGTTTATTCAAAAACCTTAATTTCTTTTCGACTGAAGAAAAAAGACATAATCATCTTGGATGACATGAGGGTGAGAAAAATTATCAGGAAATTTGAATTCTGAAGTGAACTAATCCTTTAACATAAACACAAAAACTTCTGAAGTGGTCGTACCCACAACCCCTGCGCTCCTCAGCAGAAGATGGACAGAGTATGATGATAAGACAGCAATGCAGGTCAACAAGACTCTTTTAAAAAAAGCAGAAAACATGAATTATAAACAAGTAAATGAACAAGATAATGTCTGTCACATTAATACATGACAAAAGAACAAGTGTAATGAACATTTATCTCGAGTAAATTCTCTAGTTGAAAATGTGCATTTAAAATGAAGAAAGTAAGCAATCAAAGTATTGTATGTTCATTAGATATAGTTACTGATCATTCAAATGGTTAGAGATGTCATAAAACTACATACTCTGCAGACCTCCAGGGCATTTACTTTGTGGTTAGTTGTGAACATGAGGTGAAATATGGGATACTCACAGAAAGAGGACGAGACCAGTGTTGGACATGGCATAGGACAGTCCCAGAATCCCACTACCCATGATGGCATTGCTAAGGTTGAAGACAGACATTCCAAATGATGTCTTTCCTTCAAACTTGCAGAAAAAAAGACAGAGACAATAAGAGGGAAAGCAAGTGGGAAAAAAGACTATGGAAATAACTAGTTGAATGGTTGGATGCTTTATTAATATGATCTGGATGGAATGGAATTTTATTTCTGCACTCACATCTGTAAACTGAGGGGGTTTTCCTCCATCACTCTTGTGTGGTAAAAACTCCTCTCGTTCAGGTGACTCTCTAAAACAAATAGACAAATGTAACACTTTAGAAATGCAACAATTACCAGGTACTCAATTATGACGCTTCAAATGAACTGTGTAAGTAAATGTATAGCAAAGCCGCATGGGGTTTAGGTTAATACAATCATTTTTGCCTTTTGCCTTACAAAACAGCCATTAAAATGATACAAAGAGATCTAAACAATCCAAAATCTAAACAACCCAGGCCCAGTTGTTGTCATGTGATAAGAAAATATATCAAGGATGATGTCATTTATTATATTGTTGTTTAACAGTTAACACAGCCGATTTGTTCAACCTGTATGGAATGCATTAATGTGATAAATCCAAGGTTATTTATGTGTGCTAATGAGGTGAAGGCTATGCTGTGGTGAGCTGCTAAATTTCTCACTCCCAGGAAAAAAAAATATTTTAGTGATGTTGCAATGCTCACATTTTCCATTTAGGTTCATTTTAAGTTCACCCAAATATTCACTTAAAAATAAATGTAACTTTGCTTAAGACTGTGGTGTTTTTTTCTAGAGACGGTGAAGCAACTGACTAGTGTGTTTGCTTTGCTTTTAGCATGCATTTGCAAGGCGACAGAAAATAGATGACAGATTTAGAGACAAGCGTATAATTTCTTTTTAAAAGCAAAATCACTACTAATAAACGACACGTACCCTTCCTCAAGATGTTGAAATTCATGGTGGTGACCGTTTGTTAGTTTCTGAAGTTCCATGATGTATAGTTTCTTACTTTTTCTCTTTTGAGCAGTGAAACTTGTGAAGTGAAGGGTTTTCTCTAAAGTAGATCTGCAAGAAAATAAATAAATAAAAGCAGTTTGACTAAACCAGTACAAAATAATATCACATATTGTGAGGCATCTGAAGCAGCATAGTCTTTTTTTATAAATTACTGACCCCAAACTATTGAACAGTAATAGCTACTATGTTTTGATAACAACAAAGAAGTCTGCATCATTTACACAGAACCAAATCACACAGTCAAAACAGTCTCTTAACTGGTTGTGTAGATGTCTATTCTAGGCGACATTGGATAATATTTACAATGACTTTGAAGCGACCAAAGATCTATTTTAGAGGAGCCACCTGAGGACTATTAAATGCCCTCTTTGACTCTGTCTTCATATCCTGTCTTCTATATTGAATCCATAATTTTTCTGAAAGTTACCCTATGAGGAACTGTGAGAACTGTCAAGATGTAGCTTAGTGTCCAGGAAACATGAGGTCCATGTGTCGATTTCTCACCACCTCTATTGTGACTGGTTCTAGTGGGACTCATGTTTCAAGAATAAAAAAAGAGCCCAAGAGAGCATAAGAGTGCCAGGAATTCTGTAGGTTTATTTTGGATTCCTGCCTTTTCAACTGCATGTGTAAATGATCATATATAAAGAAACAAGCTTCTGAGAGAGCTTTTTAAGAACTGATGTGACGGCCGTGTCAAAAATCACACTTTTAGGCAAACTGTTGAACATGCCGTTCTCTGTGTGCGTAAATTCATTGATGAACTAAGAGAATTAATGTTCGACTTAAAAAACTTGTGTGCCCTTTTTTAGTGATTGCGTAACTGTACAGCCATTGTGTACATCAAAACTCTGGAAGATTAGTATGCTTTTTGTTTATGACACTCATCCCAAATTCCAACCTTTTCTGACTGACAAGAGTGTCCGGAACTGCCTCTGGAGAGACGCTACCTTTGGCATTCTGTCTTTTAGAAACTGTTAGAAGGGGGTGTTATTTTAGTGTAATAGCTTTCTTTAAAATACATTTTATTTCAGTTTTAGTTATTTTAGTATGTTAAGTTGAACTAAATGAAAATAATAAACGTTGCTTTGGCAACAAGCTGTAATATGTTTTAGCTAAATGTAATAACCCAAATGGAGGTATGGGGGTGTGTGTAGTGTGCACAGTATTGATTGAAAAGTACATCTGCACTCTATTATTATGACTGACATCAGTCGGGTCATCACTGTTATACATTAACTCAGTAGAGGCTTGCAAACTACTGATGGTTCAGATGTTGAAATCAGTGGGATCTATTCCATATGGCAGGAATAATGGTCACATACGTACAAAAATAACAGCATGTGACTCAAACAGCTCTACTGAGAATGTTTCTTGCCGTGTGTATGCGAATTATCGCACAGTGTCTCAAACACGTAAGAAAGTGTAAATGGAAAAATCTCTTTCCAATGCCAGGGTGAATCAGAAATATGTAAACAAATATAAGATCAGTGTGTTTATGAGACCCTGTGAAATGCTGTGGGAAGAAGCAACAAGGTGAATTGCTGTTGGATATGAAATTCACAGTCGCATTCAGCCCACAAGTTTGAATACGTGGCTCAAGCTTCGGAGGTTTGGAAGTTTTCCAGCAGCTCCTGCCAGCTGTGGTTCCTGAACTGCTTTCCGAACACAACCTTGTACACTCAAAAACTTGATAAGATTTGTTGTAATAATTACATACTGCCAGGCAGCACATGGTGATTCACGCCTTGGTCTTTCCTCACACACAGGAAAAACATTATAAAATGGAAAGGCCTGATGTTTAAAACATAAAATATGCTATATGTAAAACTCTAGAGTAACTGAGATTTAGGGAATGTTATGAAATGAGAATATTATATATAAAAACTAAATATGACTTTACATCATTAAAAGTGACTCTTTTTAGCCTCATGTGACTAATGGATTGACAATATATATTGTTTCCAAGATTTACCATTCAGTTGGCAGCCTGAGATGTTGAAATTTTGTACTGTGGCCTGCCAGAATTCCCCTATACGGTAAAAGTCATTAGAGTGTCTGACCCATCAAGTTGAATGGTAATTCTGTTATATAAGTATCTGAATTGCACACTCTTTAATGTCTATGCCTGTAGGCACAAAATTAAACAATAATAAAGCCTTGTGGAAGCATCTTGTGGAAAGCATTTCCTCGAGCTCATAATCATTATTTCTTGCTTAAACTCACTACTAAAAGACTTTTTTTTCATACTAGTCAATCAAATAAAGAGTCGATTGTACAATACTGAATAACTTATAAAGCCTGAGCACTTATATTTAAAGGCATCAACAATTTATATGTAATCTAAATCCTGATAATTTGACAGAAATTTGATAGATAATGTTCAATGTAAATGTACAATTAAAGTACATAATAAATAAGTATTGTTATTGTTAGTAAAATTGTTTTCATTAATTAAAATAAAGCTATAAATAAAAATATTTTAACTAAAAATAAAATGAAAACGTAAAAACATTGAACATAATGTTTCAAAAAACATTTTGAATTGACGGCTAATTCAAAAAAAGTCATAAATACAGTCTATAATAATACAAAATATGCAGTTTTCAAAAATAGCATTGGTGGCTTAGCTTGAGTTTCTGATTATATATAAAACAAAAATGTAAGGTTCAATTAGTTCACATTATTAATGCATTATGAACTAAAAATGAACAACACTTTTTACAGCATTTATGACTGTTATGTAGGGGTGTATCGATATTCAAACCGAACCAAAAAAACGCAATACACCACCCACGTCAAGTATCGCGATACTCTCATGGCATACCTAACCTGCCCCTGCTGCCCTGCCCTGCCCTACAAATTTTTCTTCCTTGACATTTGAGTAATAGTAATTAGGGATACGTCCCGTGGATTTTCGTGTGTCTTATGTGTACACAATGAATACAGCGTTGTAGCCTAACCACCATTAACCACCACTAAACGCAATAAGCTCCGCGTTTTGTTTTTCGATAAGAAACAAAGGGCAATCTTTCAAATTCTGTCAATTTTATCATGAAATTCAAACAATACATGTCATTTTGGCGCTCTTTAGTGTGCCGTGACAGATCACTAACCAGATATTATTCATATCCAGGCCTCAACTGGGAATCTCAGTTTTGGCAACGGCAAAAAACATGGGCCGTATCTGGCCCACACACATCAAGCCGGTTTTAGTGTGAGTTGTGGCTTGCTGTGTGTGGCCCAAATGTGGCCCACGTGACCTTTGCCGCTGCCAGAACAGAACCATTTGTGCCAGAGTTGGCCCAATTTCAGTACTTGGGCCAGAAGAATTTGGGAAATGTATGTGCTGTGCATATATAGGTGCCTCAGTTCAAGCAGCCGCGCAGAGCGCGAGTGAACATGATCATCTCTTCCTTTTTAATACCAGTTATAAAATAATTTTGTATGAACATCTGAAGTTAAAAGACAGTACTTAATAAAACGCATCAAATCTTGTGTAATCGCTCAATCAGTGTTTCAACAACCGAAAGACGTCAATAAAACATCTTGTAAACAATGTCACGTAACATTATTTACCTCAGGCAAGACATTCAGTGTCCACAGCTTGTTAGTTCGCTAGAGAAATGAAACTCTTTCGCTAAATATATGCAGTAAATAAGCCAATATATTATATTTTACTTAACCTCTTAATTGTTTTGTTTAAAATATCTGTCATTAAATTGACAGAAACTGTGGAGTGAAATTGGAGTAAAAATATATAGTAAAGTGTTACCAATAGCACAAACCAATTTAAACAAAGAGTACTGCATGAGCTTTAAAAGCAATATGTCATGTCACATTACTGGTGGCACGAGTCATTGGAGTCATGTGTAAACTATAGGTTGAAACCAACTGGACAACATTCCAGAAGGGAAGCATTTGTTAACATGATCTATTTACTCTTAAAACAGTACATAACTCATCACTTCTCAATGGTTTCATCAACCAGCAACTTGAAAGACATGGAACTGATTCTAATTTGAATATTTCTACATGGCAAAGTCTTTACAAATGAACACCAAAAACATTTTCGTGGAAGAATCCCCAATAAATTACATTTGTCAGCTGCAAAATGTCAAATGTGTTTTCACCAAGAATTTCACCCTGAAGGCAACTTACAGACAAGAGGAGAGAGAGAACTTCTCTGCGACAAGACCACCTCGTACGTGCCCAGCACCACTCCCAATAACTGCCTGATCAAGTGTGAAATACTAGTGTGACCAGATTGGCTGTTACCTGGGGCAGCTTTCCTCAATGCAGCACTAGATGACTGTTTGTAATCCTTCTCTGGATCTGATTTTAAATGCTAAATTTTTCTTGGCAAAGACAACCTTTCCACTTAACTCTCAGGGAGTCACTGGAGTTATTTGTTTAAACTTCTTAGCACTCAGTTAAAACATGTAGGGTGGGTAGTGGGGACATTGAGGGGCTGGGAGAAAGAGAAAAAAAATAGAAAGAGGTGGGGGAAGGTAGCAAAGAGCGCTGTGACATTGAATAACTTTTAACCCTTTACTCCTAGTAAAATAAAACACTGTTCTCAGCTTTCAGACTGGAGGGGATTATAATCTAATTATATAATTATTTAACCATATAATCATGCACAAATAGGTTAGTTAGTCAAATGGCTTACTTTATCCATCCAATTATAGCAGTATTTTGGTGAAAATTCAACTGTAACTTAGTAGTAACTAACCAAATTAGGCAGATGCCATGGTTGGTGAGCATGACATGACCCTTATCCGAAACCAACAAGGCAAATTAACATACTATACTGCACAATATGTACGATTTTTAAATTAAAAACAATGATCCAAAAAATATGAACAATGCTATATTTTGTTGACTTGTGTATATGTTTCCAATCATGTTGAAATCCAGAGAAATTAGCTATTGATGACATCATATCTGTGCAACTCTCGATTCTTTGGTTTTACATCTGTAGAAACCATGGAAACTCCAAAGACGCTTTAATATAATTATGTTTTATTAGACAGGTGAGCAACTAACACCTTCATCAACAGAAAACGAATCATTGTTAGCGCTTGAATCTCTTGTTTTCTTGATTTACCATAAGTAACGTTTACCCAAAAAGTAAATCAGACAACACTATTTTGTCAAGTGGCTAACATATAGCATAATCAGAAAGAGCTTTATTTTTAGTAACAGTAATACAGTGTACTCAAAATGAATTGCATGCCATTTAGCAACACAAGTCATTTAGCTTTAATTATTAATATGGCATTCCAATATAGAGCTACCTTGTTGCAATGTGCAACAAGTGTCTCACACCAGCCCAAGCGAACGCACAGTCACTTACATAACTTTCAATACACTCAAATGTATTTTTTGTACGATTGATTTGACCAAGTAACCTGCGTTACCCAGCAACTTTAATTCGTCAAATAAAGTGACCTCTAGTAATTCAGCACTTGTGGCTATTTCATTAAATAAATAATGTGAATTTAAGTGATCAAATGTAACAGGCGAACGTTAAACGTAACTTTAATTGTAAAATAAACAAACAACAAAACATAAGGAGCGACAGGAACCTGCTGCATACCCCCTAACGTTAATAAAACTTTAATACATCAGCTCATCCATGAAAACGATCCTGTCCATCGGCTGAGAATTCCATGCTCATTCAGCGTCATAAATCTATGCTTTTGCTATTGTTTTGAATAAGTGATCTCTAGCTGTGAAAGCTTACATACTGTGCCTTTAATTAAATGTGTTTTGTGAAGTGAAATGTTAATCATCGAAACATCAACATTTTAATTTACTTTAGAAACTATGCATATTTCAAATAAATGCTGTTCTTTTGTACTCTCTATTTATCAAAGAATCCTAAAAACTTTTATAAAAATATTCAGCAGCACAACCGTTTTCAACATTGATAATAATAAGAAATTTAACTTGAGCACCAAATCAGCATGTTAGAATGATTTCTGAAAGATCATGTGACACAAGGATCAGCAGCTTTGCCATCACATAAATTGCATTTTAAAATATATTCAAACGGTGTAATAATATTTTTATTGTATTTTTGATCAAATAAATGCAGCCTTAAACTTTTAAATGGTAGTGGTGAATTCAGGTTGATTGGGACACTTTGTCCAAGTCATCTCAATGGCAAAGTGTCCCAATCACCCTGAATTCACCTCTAGTGTATTTTATTTGAAAATAATGTAAATATTATTTTGTAAGTAGAAACATTTTATTTTATATTATATTTAATATAACATTGTTTTATTATTTTATTTTCATTCATTTCATTATAATTTACTTTTTTTTTACTTTAGTATGATACTACTTTGGTACTACATTGCTACCCACACTAATATGGATCTCAAACAAAACCAACTGGGAAGTACTTAATTAAAAACTGTGATCAAATACCTTTAAATCACATTTATTATGTTGCAAAAATAGTTTGTGGACAAGATTTGGCAGGTTAGCATATTCCCAACGTCTCTACTATCTTTAGCCACTTACCATCAGAGCTTAACAACCATCTCTCCACCCATTCCACTCGCATTCCTTCATCCATTTCCTGTCGTTCCACTCTCATTCTCAATAGACCCTCTGCCTGTATGTCAACATCTCACACTATTGCTATCCATTTTAAGGCCTTGGCTAGAAGTGTATTACAGTGCTCAAATGCTCTTTTTATGGCAGACACATCAGTGTAGTCTACTTGTCCATACTTGAATTTCCAGAGTATTTCCCATGAGATAATATGATCCCTTCAGCTAAATAGTGAGGCCAATGTGTGCCAAAATTCAGGCTCGAATGAACTTGTAGTAAATTTGACTAATATAATAACACTAACAGAACGTGTTTTCCACATCAGTATGAATTTACTTTTAAACCCTAAAGACTCAAACAGTGGAAGTTAAAGTAAAAGACCAGCTCTGGTCATTGTTGCAAACCACACAATGCACTCGCTGATCTCTCCGCATGCTCATTTCCACGCCTGTGGCCATGTATATTCAATATGTCCAGGACATCCGTTTAAAAGAGCTACGGAAGCCACTTGAGGTTTATCAATTGTGTGGGTCACAACATCAGTGTAAACATTGTGCCTTTAAAACTCCTCTAAAAAAATTAGACACATTCCTTTTCATTTTCCACCTGATAATGATTTCCTCTACTTTTCCTTTCAGATAACTGTGGTATGTCGACATATATTGTGGGACTATTTATCTGTGATGTTTTTTTCACACTCTAGCCAGCAAGAATTTTACGTGCTTCAAATATTAAAATACAACAGGAAGTGCTTCACCTGAATTCAACAGATAAAATTGCTTTTTTTAAAATTATGTTGTAGGTCACGCTCTCACCATCACAAACTTCACAAAATTAAACTGTGGTTATTTCTGGTCAATTTCTTTCACAAAAAAAAAAAAAATTTATATACTGTATTACAGTATTTATGGTATATATATATATATATATATATATATATATTCAATTTTAGCATTAAAAAACATTTAAGCTAAAGTTAACATATTGTAAATTTATTGTATATGCAGAGGCTATAAAAAAGCCATTTGAAGACTGAAAAGTGTAACCACTAATGTCACGTCACATGCTATCAATACATTCCTCTCTTGTGCATCTTGACCAACCCGACATATCAACATTAGCACAACCAATGGCATAAGTTAAGTTGGGACTATCTGCTTGGCTGGCCAATGGCGGATAAGGAAAGTACATTGTAATTTGTTTTTAAAACGCTGCATCTAAATCACCTACTTTTAAAGTATGTGCTGAATTTGTTGAGGAATACACTTCTCAATCATTGGTAAAGTACTTCTTTATAGGCTCTGGCAGTTGTGTAGTATAAAACATTACCATGCATCTAAAATGTTGCCATTGTCCTCTGACTGCTACATACTAACAATATTAACTACAACAATAATGCACTTGGGAGATAAAAAGTATAAATTAACCAGGAAGAACAACATTCTTGGTATCTGTAACAATCGTACTTGAAAAGAGTGCCTTACAGTTACAGTTCCCATGGCCTCATTTGGGATTCCAATTTTGGACTGCAAACTTCAGAGTCCCAGCAGGTGAACATCCAGGTATTGTGTAACTATACTGTTTCATGAATACTACTTGGAAAACCTATAATTTGGCATATTAAACAATAAGACAGCGAAGTGTATTCTGATGAATGATGCTAATGACAAAAAAATACAAATTTCTACAAACCTTACAGCAGAGTTTTCAAAAATCTTTCTTTGAAAAGTTTGCAAATATCCCTGAGCCTAGTGAATAACTAAACTGACATTACAAAGTTCATTTGATGTCTCTTTTCCCAAATACATGACCTAGTTGCTCTTTAAAGGCCTTTACTAAATCAATCCATTAGCGTGCTTTAGGGTGTACCCTTACAGGTTGCGCAACAATTTTTGGATGTTTGGAGACTTTGAGGTCTTCTTCAAGTCCCAATTTATTCTGCGAGGACTTATATGCATCACTGAATAGCATTATATATATTCACTTTTACCTAGCAATATCTAGAAGAATTTTTTGTGGAACATATTGAAGAACTAAGAGAATGTGAACAATGCATGATATACCGACATTTAACCAATATGTTCATCAAGATTATTTTCTACATTGTCATGGTTAAGCCTAAAAGAAACATCCCATGCATGTAATCTATTCTAAACAAAAACCTTTCAAAAAAAGAGTGACTTGTTTGCTTTTTGCAGATAATTGGGTGGGTGCTCTCAGTCAACAGAAAACATATTAAAGACTTATGAATATGTTCATATGCCCTATATTTCTAACCATTTATGTCTAGTACGTGCAAGTCCAAATTAACCAGCAGCCTTTTATATCTGGCTTGAGTTATTAGTGCTGCGATCGGACATATGAGACCTGCATAACGCCATGTCCAGGGTGCACAAAAAAAGATTTTACTTTGCAACTTACACAAGCTATTATCTTCAGTCCTGTTTAGCCATATTCACCACACTGTAGTAGGATGATTGAGAGTAACAACAAATATTAAAACTGTCCAACCAGACAATTTTTCTTAATTGTTATAGTAAAGCCCTTTAAATACAGATTAATTGTAATCAAAGAGCAATTAAAACAGCTAATTATAGAACACAATCAAAGCTATCATTTTGTTAACAAAACTCTTCTAAGCCATTAAGCCTTTCCTGTCAACAGCTTTTATAGCCCATGTGCTCAGGCAATACAACAGATACTCAGAAGAAGAAAAAAAGACTCTCTCACCCTTTTAAATAATGTTTTCTCAAAGGCAGTGCTGTTGAAGCATTCTCTGAGAGCTTTTCTTGGTTGAGGTGTTGCTTTTTATCCCAGTATTTAAAAGGTTTAGGCCCAATAGAGAA